TCCATATCTAAAAATTTGTATCAAGGTAATAAACAATACTTCCAAAATATTTGTAGAATATAAATATGCTCAAAATTTTGCATTTTATATACAAAATGTAAACAATAGCCTAAAATGCTAAATAGAACAAAATGTGATTATTTAGGTATAAAATGCATATTAAATATCTTAAAAGTACTAAAAAATGAAAGAATAAAATATGACATTTTGTGACTTAACAAATACCCCTACACTTAGACTTTTTGCACGTCCTCGTGCAAACTAAACATTTTAGAATCAATTTTTTTCTCTTTGGTTGACATTAGAGCTCAAAATAATTTTTCAATCTCATAACAATCTAAAGTGATGAATGAAACATTAACCAGAAATTAATCATGTACCAAATACAATAAATTCTTTAATAATCAATTTGCTACTTTAAATTTTAAAACAATTCTTTCACTTCAAAGCTAATTAGAAATTACTTTTATTTAATGCCAAACTCTTAAATTAATTAAGGCCATTGAGAACAAATCAAAAGAAATCTATAGAGCAGCAAAAAGAAAAATGGTTAGAAATCCTAAGAAATAATCAAGTAAAGAAAAGCTCAAGAAAATTTATTTTCTTTTCCAAAATTTGGAAACTTTTATTTATTGTTTTTATTTAATATTTAATTTTAATTGTTTGAGTTGACCCGTGTAGCGAGTCTCAACCAGGCTACCCCAGGCCCATTCCAGATAGCCCGGGACCTAAATAAACGAAGTATTCCGAGGGTTTCAACTCGAGTGCTCAAACAATATTTTCATTCATTTACTTTATATTCTTTTTTTCCTACCTAGCCATTTATTGCACTTTTTTTCTTTTTGGCTCAATGGCGTCGGCTTTTTCTTATTTTTTAACACTGGTTATGGACGAGATTCGTACGGCCCAAAACGGGGTTTGCTCTTCCAACTCAGGTTTTCTCCATACACAACATCACTTCCTTTTGGGATCTGTTGCTTAAGGGGACAAAGGTGCCGTGCCACCCATGCCAACCTAAGATGGTGTTCCAGTATATATATTTAATCATTTCAGCATCTTGATAATATGTAAATAACCAAAATTTAGAAAAAGAAATTTTTTTTCTTAAGACTAACTTTACTTGAATAGCAACTTAGGACAAAAATGAGTTAGTTGGAAAACTGCTCCATGTATTTCTAAATAAATTGTGCACATTGAACTTAACTAATTAAAAGGTATGAAATTAAACAAAAATAAGTTCTAATCAGATTTGAATTAAGAGAAATGATTTAAATTTTAAGTAGCAAACTCATTTTTAAAGAAATTCAAACATATTTGTTACAAAATTAATTTCAATTTAAGGCAAAAATTGCAACACTTAAGAGTGCTAAAAGATTAAAAGAAACTATAATGATTTCTAATTTTTCTCGAAACTCTCCTTTTCTTATATAGATTTTTATGTGAAAGATAATTGTTTTCTTAAAAAACTTTAAAAATTTTAAATTTTAACCAAATTGCATCTAGAATACAAAATTGACATGAAATACCTCTTTTTCTACCCAATTCATACTCCTAGTATGTGTATGAAAACATGCAAACAAAAGTTTTTTTCTAAAATATGCATAACTAAATGCAGAAGCGTCCCCCCACACTTAAATCATGCAGTGTCCTCAATGCATGTAAATGATGAAAATATGATGAACTTATGCACATATAAGATGAGACAATTAACAGCATGAAGCATGAACAATAACAAACAGATGCAAGAATGTAGAAAGGGGATCATAAGATATGACAATTAAGCATGCAAGGTAGACAAAGTGCAAGTGAAGAAGAGGATAATACAAAAAGAAAAAAAAGTAAATAAAATGCATAAAAGTAAAAGTTTAAATATCTGGGTTGCCTCCCAGAAAGCTGCCATCTTTTAATGTCTGCGGCTAGACTCGTTGTTCTGCTCAGGACAACATGGAGAATCCATATCGTACTCTTAATAACCTGTGATCACTCAAAACAACACTCCAAAGCAAACCAATAGCTAATCACAAGGTCAAAGTAAGCAATATAAACTAGTTTTAGTAATATTCATAAGTGTATTTTCCAAATAAACACATAAAGCTCTAACAACAAAATTTCTCAAAAAGTGATCAAGTTTCTGAAAAATTGGATGTTACGATGTGGGGTGACAAATGAAGAACTAAACAGGGTATTTGTAAAGCACAAATAACAAAATTATATCCAACACATAAAATAGTATTTGGAAAACAAATTATCTTGTTACTCTTGCTAAAACTATTTTTTTCCGTTCAGTGATTTTTTATGCTGTCATATACAATTTGAGACCAAGTTTGATAAAACTATTTCAAATTGCTAAAACTTTTTTGAAATGGAAACTGTTCAATAAGATGCCTAACATGAAACGGAAACAGTTTTTTCCATATTTGAGTTCAATGATTGGCCTGCCATTTTGAAAAACTTGAGAGGTTTTTTTTATATAAAAATGTAACTTTGAAACACAAATTCAGGATTTATGCAGAATACTAGGATTTCAAATTCTTGAGAGTGAATGAAGACGGAAAAACAAAACCAAGGAAATCAATTTTAAGCTCTAATTTCCAAATAACATTCCACTTAGATCATACTGAATTATCTAGCACAGAGTATAAAATGTGCTAATTTTTCTCAATTCATCTAGAAGTATGAACACCCTGATATTTAGCAAAGGAAATGATAGCTTCTTCTATAAAATAAAGTTGAAAACAGGTTTGGCCATTACCTGATTTAACTCCTACACTTAAAATTTTATTTGAGAAGAAATTTATAAAAAAAAAATATTTTTATTTTCCTATTTCTAGCTAGAAGTGTAGACCAAGTCAGGAAAGGTAGGGTCATGCTCAATTCTTCTCTTAAGCACAAAATTTGAGCTCAAACTTGTGTCAGCCCAATTCATACTTAATTCTAATCAACCAAATAATTTAATCAATGCAAAATCAATTCCTTGAGCATGAATTGTAACTTCTAGAATTGTAAGTATGAACTAGGCTACAAGCTTCAGTAATAACAACCAGCAATGAATTTATAAACCAACATTAAAAATTACCAATTGATCCCAATTATTACGCAATAGGTACCAAAGAAAAGCAATCTATAAGATTCATTTATTTGTTGTTTTTTTTTTAAAAACCAGACCTAGAAATAAATTGCTCACGGGTGTGGTAAATCATTTAAAGAGAGAATCCCCTCATTACATTAAGCATTATAAATTGAGTTCCTACTCAAAATGATTGTGGGCTCAGTATACTTACCTGAAATGTATAGCAAATGCAGCAATTTCCCTTCTGTTTTGGTCAAGCCCTTGCTCCTCTTATTTAGCTTTTAACCTTGCTTTGTTGCTGCGTGCTATTTTTTCCCAGTGAAGCATAGGAACCTGGGGCAGCTACTTTGGTAGCAACTAAAGACATCCAACCAGAATTATATTCTCATCTCAATGTCTAATTTTCAGCTTCTTGCATCTTGAAGTGTAGTGGTTCCTTAGCCTTAACTCTGTTGTTTATTCTGGCTTCTGATTTCAGGAAAAAAAAAATTAAAAATTTCTGGTATGGTGTTGTGAAGATAGGCCTACTTCTATGTTTTTCCTCTATTAGTGCATGAAATACATGTTGTTGCTCAGAGAGAGAATTATGAATTGGGATATCATCCTTAGCCTCCATCTTTTCTAACTTTCTGTTTTTCCTTTGATCTCCAAAGCTTTATGTAGCTGTCAAACATATGCACCTAAAGGCTAAAAGTAAAACAACTATTCATGTCCATTGTTCACAATTATATTAAATACCCCTGAATCCTGAAAGTGAATAGTTTTACCAAATAAAGCAATTCAAAGAATAAACTATCTGCAAATCAAGTTTTGAACAATATAGGGCACTCAACAATTTTATTAACTAAAAATGTTCATTATAGTTAATGTCTACAGAGAAGTTAGACAAAAATTTAGGTTTTAGCTATAGTTAAATTAAATTTTTTAAAAAATAGTTTAATATAGAGTGTAAAAAAAAGTTATTGTTAAATTATTTTAAATGTTAAACTAAAAATAAGAGTCAAGTAAATGCAATGAATTTAAATTAAAGCTATAAAGACCTGAGTACAAGACACAAGACACCACTTTAATTCAATAGTAAGAACTAAAGAATTTCACAAACTCAATATTGACTCAAAAACCAAAAGCACAATTGACTGTTGATCTACAAAGACGCAAATAAACCTAGACAATAGGTTAGTGTTCTAATTAAACTCAAGGACTAACAAATTCAAAACTAAAAAGAAACAAAAAAAACTAACCTAAAACATGAACTAAAAGGTAACAGAACAGACTAATTAAACTGAACAGACATTTTTTTATTCCAGACTGGACTGATTTTTTTTCAACTGATTAACATAATTTTTTCTGTTTCTGATTTTTTTAAGTAGCCGTTTTTTGCTTTTCTTTTGTTTTTGTTATTTTTTTTAAAACCTTTTTTTGTTTTTTTTTTGTTTTTTTTGTGTTTTATTGATTTTTTTAATTTTGTTTTTTTTTAAATTTTTTTTTTGCTTGTTTTTTTTGAAACATAGCAAACTGAATTCCATAAGAAGTTAATCTGTCCCCGGCAACGGCGCCAAAATTTGATAGGCGTGTCGTAGCACCTACAAATTAATTAATTATTTTCCTTAACTCTTAACCCCCTTTATGAATTAATATTCATTAAAACATATAGATAGGGCAAGTAAGGGTCGATCCCACGAGGAAAGATACTCTTTTAGCTATGAAAATCAGTTCACTTGTCACATTTATTGAATAAAAACTAACTAAAACTAAATAACTAAAACTAAAAGATATGGGGTGTTTGAATGATGATTCTAAAAAGATAAAAATGCAAATAAAATAAAGATAAAGGATAACAGATACGAGACGGAACCACAACAGCAAGCCAAACTCAGAAGTCACTCAAGGAGAAAACAAACACACAAAAACAATCACACATTAAACTTTATAAAAACGTAGACAATAATAATTAACTTAAACAATTTTGAAAATACTTATAGTTTTTAATAGAAAATAAACTGAACAAATCTGATTAACTAATTAATTATGTCTTGATTCTGAAATTAAACTGCTAATTAAACTCAGGGTTAGGCTGAAGAAGAAGTCCACCA